TGGGAGGAGGAGTCATAGAAGATTCATCATGGATAGCTTTCTATAGTTTTCCTGAATACCCTTCATTCGGCGCGAGTGACAGCTCGTGATACTCACGTGCTCGCCGATGGTGACGTTTTCCAACTTTCGATGGGAGTTGGGGCGGAGTTGGGGCGGAGTTGGGGCGGAGTTGGGGCTAATTGAGACAAATTTATACAATTTATGGGCTAGTGTGAGAAAAAAAACTACGTTTAGGGGTGCTTGAGAATCGAAGCACAACCTAAGGAGAAATTGGAATTTTTACCTTTTGTTTTGTCGGAAGGTTAAACAATTATATAAAAAAGTAACGAATTTTCCTATAGTCTAATTGAACCAAATGACAATGATTGAATCAAGCATGACTCAAACAAATGCAGTCCCAAAATATTTCCTAATCGTAAAAGTATCCCATATATTAATAAGAGTCGCTAATATGTCACGTTTTTAGTAATGGCATGACAATGCTTATATTAATTTGAGGTTAGAAAGATTACTTTTGATATGTTTAGTAATTATACCCACGCTTTTGAAATAATAATTAAGTAGTATCCCCGCTCAGTCAATTGCTTGAGTATAAAGTTCTTCATTAGAAAGTAACCCCTTTTAGGCACAATACATGGCTGTTCATCTTGGTGAAAGACCGTTCGATCAGTGAGCTTTATGCACTCTTCCAACGATAGCTCTTCTAAGGGAAACCTCCCGAGTGTCTCAAGCTATCCAGTCTAATTCAAATCTTGGTTCAAACACTACATTAATAGTGGTTACAATTTTTTTCTTATATACCTGAAAAGTGGTTCAATTATATTGATAAAAAAGGTAGGGAGGGATGATCAAGTCGGTAACTCCTCTGAGTGTTATCATAAAAATCTCATACTCGTTACAAAATACTCTATTTAAGTCATAATTACTTTGCATCATTAGTGATTCAAAAAATTTGAGGTTGATAAGCCCGTTATCGAGACTCCACCAATAGGATTTCACACCCGAAGATGAGCCAAAATTCATCTCTGGACCATTATCCGACACAAAATCTAAAGCAACTTAGCATAAAGACAACTCAACCACTCTCATAAACCAATGGGATGGAATGATTCTGAAATAATTGATAAGAATCAAAAGGTGGTGTTGCATCGCAATTCCCAAGGGATCTCCATCAAATTTGGTACAAATAGCAAGAAAACACAGACCGTATCTTTTAGACCACCGACATGGAATTATTCTGAAATAATTAATAAAAATAGAGAAAAGTGTCAAAAAAATTTTAAACCTTTTGGTTTGATGTTAATTTAGTCTTAAACTTTTTTTTGTGCCAATTCAGTCTTAAATTTTTTGCATTGGTGTCAATTCAGTCCTAAATCTTTTGCATTTATGCCAATTCAGTCATAAACAATTTGCATTTATGCCAATTCAGCCCTAAACCTTTTGCATTTGTGCCCATTCAGTCCTTTGAAACATGAATAGCTATTAGGCGGAAGGACTGAATGGGCACCAATGCAAAAGGTTTAGGACTAAATTGGTACTAATACAAAAGGTTTAGGGCTAAATTGGCACAAAAAAAATATTTATGACTGAATTGGCACAAATGCAAAAGGTTTAGGACTAAATTGGCACCAATGCAAAAGGTTTGGGACTGAATTGACACAAAAAAAAGGTTTAGGACTCAATCGGCACCAATGCAAAAGATTTCGGACTCAATTAGTACAAAAAAAAGTTTAGGACTAAATTGACACCAATGCAAAAGGTTTAAGACTTTTTTGACACTTTTCCCAATAAAAATAGGGTGGTGTTACTCAAAAGATCGTTGCTACTCAAACTTCATCCAGCATTAATTTTCCTGCTTGAACTCAACTTAATTAGAAAATCGGGATACTTGAGCTTGACTCAACTGGATTAGGTTGCCATCAATTTACAAATAAAACTCGAGCATTTTTGTAATTTTAAATATTTTGTATCTTATTTGTACAATTTTCAAAAGAATAGTTAAAGCTTGATCAAGCTTGAATTTAACTAGACAAAATGTTCGGAGTAGCTTGAAATTGACCGCGTCTCCAAATTAGGTGAGTCGATCTTGAATAGTCGTCGATCGATATCGACCCACCTGCGGGTAGCCTGACTCAATTTCATCTCTTTTACAGGTACTTTTGCCAATTTCTTTTGTACAAGTGGCTTATCTTTCTGTAATTAATGCATTTTGACCACATTTTAATTAATCTTTCTGCAAATAATGCTAATATGGCAACTGCAGGATGATGTCATGTTGTCCAACTCAACCCTAATCAAGAAAAATAAAAGAATCTGAAAAAATAGAAAATAAGGAAAAAAAAAAGGTGGCGGGTCGCTCCACTTCCCCTGTTTTCTTTTTGTTTTTTAATATGGATTAATACCGTAAAAAAACTCTTAACTGGTACACATATGATAAATTTATCCTAAATTAATTTTTTTACCACGAAAAATCCAAAACCGGTGCACATGTGATAAATTTACCTCAAACTAATTTACCCTCCATTAATACATAAAAAATCACAAATTAACTCAGTAATTTGACAGTAAAATTTAGCGGAAATTAACGAAGGATAAATTTATCATAGGTGTACCAATTTGAAATTTTTTGTGGTAAAAAAATTAGTTTATGGTAAATTTATCACAAATATACCATTTTGAGATTTTTCATGATATTAAACCTTTTAATATATTCATAAACTTTTTAATTTTTAATTTTAGTCAGGGTTGATGTGCCGAAGGCCATGTTAGACCTATGCCGCCGTGTCCATATCTTGCTGACGTCATGGATGTATTACAATCAAAGTGCACTAATTTTAAAGAAATGGAAGGTTAATATACGTGAAGCAATATTTGAAATCAAAAGTCGACCGCGGAAATTATATTTTCTTTTAGTGCTTACAAAATTAAAAAATATATTCTTACGTAGAGATGGCAATTCGTGTTGTGTTATATTAATCGCGCTGTGTCGTATCGAATCAAGTTGTGACACAAATATGACTAATCCGAATGCAACACATACGATCAACTTGTTGAACCGACTCAACAATAACATGGAACGCCTAATACAACCGATACGATTACGAAGCATGTCATCGTGTTGGGTATTGACACGACACCATAAATTAACATATATTTATGAATATATATTCAGCGATGTTCATAAGAAACACTTAGTACGTGATAACTTGTGTTAACACATTTAACATTTTTCTAAACAAAACAACATTAATTTAGATGTGCCAATTCGTATCCAAACGGGTTAAGCGAGTCAATCCGCGTAAAACACGATTTTTGTTGTGTCCTGAATCGGTCACTCTCGTTTATATCAAATCGAAACCTGCTTAATTATGTATCGTGCAAACTGATCTCGTTATGAATTGGAAGTCCTGTAGCAATGACACCTTTCTAGAAAAAAAAAGTCATTAATTTATGGTATCGGGACCACCTGGACAGCAAGGTGATGGCAACATGAACCATATCTTCTGCAGAATTATACGAAAATGTCCTTTGGATCTATTCATTTCTCACTCGGACCAAAATATTCTCGCAACAAATGAGCAAGAGAAATATAGAAAATAGCATAGTGGCATTACTTTTTGAGACCATAACCACAAGGTTTGTTTATAGTTAATAGAGGTAATTTGAGTATGATGGTTACTATGAAATCATGTGAACCACGAAATTAGACCAAGTAATGTTCATGCAAATTGTCGCAATAAACATTGTCACTTTTGGATTACATACATGTTATTGCTGTTGCTTCGCTCCAGTTTAATCCGGAAACCAAATTGAACCAGCCTTGACTGGTATGGTTTCTAATTTTATATGGTGAATCGTCAATGACTTGACCATTATACCACAAATTGTTCACATGATATGTTTTCCTAAAATAATAGTTATATTACTTAAAGTTTCTTTAAATTTTGAAAAAAAAAAAAAAAACAAGGTTGGCCCGGATCTCGGGTTGCTTTGGAATTAACCGGTTCGGTTTCAAGCCCGTTTCTAAGAGAACCGGATCATAGGGTAAGTTTCAAGTTCTTGATCTGAAATCTACCCATCTTGAAACGAATCACTTATGTCGCTCATAAGGTGCAATCTTATTATTTCAAGAGGACAAAAGATTCTTCTTTTTCATGGTGGCGCCACCACGTTCTCATTTTCCACACATGCTTCATTTGTGGGGGGTACGTAGACCGAATTTGGTTCATAGTTTTAGACAACCTAATCCTAATCTTGTAAGATTGGAGTCCCATCGGCCACGTGAACAAGCAGGAAATTTACAAAAGCAGAAAATTGAGGAATATTTGACTTCCGAGGGTGGCGACGGACATCCTTTTGAATTTTATGCTGGGTGGATGCGAGACAAGATGTGGTTCTAACTTTCCACGTACACTTATTTACATGTATTCTTAGTATCGTTAAGAATAGGATTAATATCACGAAAAATCTAAAATTGATATATCTATGATAAATTTATTTCAAATTAATTTTTTGATAACAAGAAACCTAAAATTGGTACACTTGTGGCAATTTTACTCTCAATTAGTTTCCGTTAAATTTTACCGTCAAATTTCTGAGTTGGATGACACGTCGTAATTGATGAGTATACCAATTTGGGGTTTTGTCCTCCAGTATCATTTTGTTATTTTTCATTATATTAATCCAATTTAACATAGGGTAAATTTGTCACAAGTATTACAGTTTGAAATTTTTGGTGCTTAGAAAATTAGTTTGGGGTAAATTTATCACAATTGTATCGGTTTGGGATTTTTCGTGATATTAACCCTTATGAATACAAAGTAACTCTTTCATGCCCTCCAATTCTTGAATTAGGTTGCTACGAATATGGATATGAACACCTCAAGTTAGAGAGGATGTAGCATCATCACTTGTTGAATCCTAAAATTGTCGTAGAAGTCAATGCCAACGTTGACGATGAAGGCGGGATCGAGTGAAGAGAAGAGAGAGAGAGAGAGGGCTCGGGGGACAGGGAGAGAGGCACGAGAGAAGCATGCATATGCAAGCATACACAAACAAACACGCACGTGGCGAGGGAGATGGAGGTGGCGAGGGCGGCGGCGAGGGCGCTGCGACGGTATGGTGAGCAACAGTCTTAAAGGGGGGAGTGGTGGTTTAGTGAGAGGAGGAGATGTTCAGTTTGGCAAATTCCTGAATAGTTACTGTAGACAAATGGCAGACACCTACCCTTGTGTTTAAACTAGGGACAGGACATAGCAACATACAATGACAGCCCCTTGATCAAAACTTGTGTTTTTGTTCCTTGATTTTTCTTGATTTTATTAAGTTGAAAAATGGAAAAAAAAAACCAATTGCAAAGAAGGAAAGGATAAGAAGTTGAAGAAGGACACCACTTGACAAAATTGAACCATGATGATATCCATCAAAAATAAATGAGAAAAAAGCTTCAAGATGTGGCCACCAAGTATGGCTCCCAAGTTGACAACCTTCTATTTTCAGGCTCTCTTTTCTTGCACCTTCCACTTCTCTGAAAGATTCCCGTGACATCACCAGAGTCATCATCTCTCTTATCGTTACCGTCAACTTCCTCTTCCTCAAAGACACCGTTTTCTTCCCAATCCTTTTCATCATCTTCCATCTTGTCATCATCGAGTGTTCTCTCCTCATCGTCCATAGAATCAACGCGTGATGAAGTGGGTTCTCTCAGGAAACATAGCCTAAGCCGGCCGTCGCTCCTTTCGGCTCGAAAATGAGGGTAACTCGACGGGGTCTCAACGGCTTCGATGACCAACCTTCCATCTTCTCTGTGAGGCCTAAGTTGGAGGGACTTCGCCCCGCTAATAGTAGTTAGCGGAGGTGGAAAACTGCGGTGCATCGGTTCCTTAGCCCCGACGTGTTCATGGGGCTTGAGCGAATTCCGATCCGAACTTGACCCGTCGGTCAGAACAGACGGTAGAACCGTGCTTTCGCTGACATGGTCGACAATACCAGTCTCATTCCCTAGATCCTCAGTGCACATCTCCAAGCTTTTCTCGTGGAGTGATATCGAAGAAAGACTCTTTGTCAAAGGAGGGACATAGGCAAAATCTTGCTTGTTGACTGGCGAGATGGGATTGGCAAGAAAGTTTCGGGTCATCTTGGGGTTTTCATTTTGCACTTCAGACCCTTTGCTGGATTTACCCAAGAGGCTACTCTTTGAGGGCACATCTAAGAACTGAGAGAAGAGAGCAGGACTCGGCGTAGTCAGTTTGAGCCTTATAGACACCGGCTCTATGATTTGGGGTTCCAGACACGACTGCAAACCTTGGCACACAATGGTTGCCATGACAGATGAAGGAACCAAGAGGAAGAGGCGCAAAGCTTGGAAATTTCAGTGGAGATAGCTGAGGTTTTGAGGTTGGGCCTTGAGGATTAAGGACTATGGAGAGGGAAGAAGACAGAGCAGGTGAGGTTGGGCAATGGGAGATGAGATGAGATGAGAAGGAGGGTGGGAGGGTGTGAATTTGTAGTGTGCCATGAAGGGGGTTGAGACTGAGAGGGAGAGGCTTGGAGAGGAGGAGCTCCTCACACCACTTGAAAATATATAACTCTTGATCGGCCACACAACACAAAAGGACAGGCAATAAATATAATACAAAAGCTAGGCCCTCTGTAGCAAAACAGATGCAAGGATCCTTCCTTGCTGAATCTGAATATGCTTTAGTTTTGTACTAGTCCAGTTTGGACTCGGAATTTCTCAGTAAAATATCCGCTTGCGATCGACCCGGTGAAACTCGGTCCAACCCCATTGACAGCGCACGGTTAACCGCTCCGAAAAGCCCTCGAAATCATCGTTTTCCACGAGTTGATCCGACTTCGCATGGGTACCCTTTGTCACTTCCAAAAGGAGATTGCTGAAATGAGAAACACAAAAGGGCATTGAGAGAAAACAAGCGTCTTTGACGATGTTTCCTCACGGACGGAAAGCCCCTGTTTTCCAGCCTTATGTTACTCATTTTGCTTGCGGTCAAAACCCGGAAGCTCTTGCATTATTTGGGCTTTAAAAACAGTTGCCAACCGATCCATCGCCCACCGACCGCAATCAATGCGTCGACCGGCCATCGAGTCTCAACGCGGAGCGGCAGATGAAGGCTGGACGCTCGTCCCGACGGCTTTGGTTGTACTGGCACATACGGATATGGTTGTCTCCTGGTCAAACCCCGTGAACTGTTGTACCTTGTGTAATTTTTCCTTTTTTTTTTTTGGTAATTTTTTTAATTTATATGTTTTCTAATATATGTTTCGATGCAACGACGGGGCTTAAACCGATGGTGTGTCGGAAGCCCCGAGGACGCGATTGACGCGGGTTCTCTATCTGTAAATGTGTTTCAATTCGTGTCTTGCAAGTAATGTCTTGAATGCACCGTTCTTGACCTTTAATTTGTAAAAAAGTAGCGGACATGGAAGGACGAATTTCCAGTTAGAAATTTAGATGGGTTAAGTTGTAAAGTATAATACTTGTCTTTTTTTTAAAAAAATTAGATTTTAGGAACGTTTCTAATTTGATTTCTCAAACGCTGGATGTATGATATAGCTTAAACATTTGGAATTTTGGATCCACTATTGAACACTTAACTTCAAAATGAATATAAATACCCAACACAACTAATTGAATTTAAATGTAAACGAGAAGCTCCAGCATCAAATTTATAATAATGTTAGTATCCTTTCGAGGACAAATCATTGAGGTGCTATGTCCCTGCTAGTCCTCCTCTTTCCATCCACGGATATAGTGCGGAATCTTTTACAAATCAGCACGAATATATTATATCAAGCAAAGCATTCATGATCTGATCATTTGGAGGTTTCTTTTTCCCCTCAAATTGATTTTCTTCAATCTTAATGTAAATCAAATTGTTTGCGTTCAACTTCCACCGTGATTATAGGAGGGTGATATCTCTATGTATATTGTGTGAAGTATCAATGAAAGGGGTGCACATCATTGACTCAATTCTTGTTTATCTATATATCCAATCCATATTTTACTAATGACCAAGGTTCCAAATGGATTCAGGATAGAATCGGGAATCAGAGGGATCAGTCTAAACCAATCCTCTTTTTCAATATGGAATTTGACTCGGGTCAAACTATTGGTCTTAATTATTTTCTCTGTTTGGGCCGACCTAGGTTGCAGGCCTCAACTTGGAGCCCAAAATAGCCTTGGAACCCGAAACCTCCGTAAAGTCTCGCTTGCATTAATTGGACTAGAATAATAGGAATCGGAATATATAATAACAAGGAATCAAAATGATAATTAATTCTTGAATTATCACGTTTGGTAAGTCTTGGAATAAGAATGTAACATATTTACGATTTAAATATTGAGGTTGTAATTTACCATAAATATAAGCAAAGTGAATAGAGTCATACATGTATCTACCATATCACGTTTTCTTCATATAGAAGTTGTCGAATTCGAAACTTAATTATTGGTCCAATTTAATGTCACCTTTCAAATCCATTTATTTCCATTCCTTTCCTTTCATTCCCACCCCCTCCTATGTTAAAGGATTCATTTCGAACTTTCAATATCCACTCCCTTTTTCATTCCGAGTGACCAAACGTTAATTAGAAATGATTGATGATTCTATTAAGGGAAAATTACCAAACAATCCTAAACATATTGTAATTGTGCCAATTCAGTCCATTCGGCCAATTTTGGCTAGCCGGCACTGACATGATGCCGGTTGTCCAGCCAACTCTTACGTGGCAATTTTTTAAATATTTTTATTTTTTCTTTTATTTTTCTCTTTTTTTTTCTTTTTTTTCCCTCCCTTCATCTTCAACCTCTAATCGATTGTCGGTTCCGGCGATTGGCCAGATGCAGGGGCCGGCAAGGTTCGACTTTGCTGTCGCTGGGCGAGGTTGACCTTGCCAGTTGCCGGCGAGCTTGTCCTTGCCATGCTTGGGCAAGGCTGTCCTCACCGTCACTCACGAGGTTGAGCCTCGCCCTCACCAACGGTAACTGGCTAGAGGTTGAAGATGAAGGGAGGAAAAAAAAGTGAAAGAAAAGAAAAATAATGAAAAATATTTTAAAAATTGTCACGTCAACGTCATGTGACAACATAGGATATGAATTAGCACAAAAAGAAAAGGTTTAGGACTGAATTGACACGGTTGCAATAGAAAATGACTGTTTTGGTAATTTTCCTTCTATTCGCGCTCCTTTACTTCCATTCCGTCTCACTCGGGATTTTCACCCCAAAAAAGTGAAAATCTCTCACCAAAAGGTTTGTTTTTGGTTTTTTATGGTAATGAGTCATGTGTTGATCACGAGAAATAAATTCTTGAATTTAAAATGCAAAGAAAGTAAGTCTGCATTGAACGAAATAAATGGAAAGTTAAACCTCATTTGTTGGGGTAAATGCATTGAAAGTCATAAAATTTGTCACAAAAATGCGATCTAGTTCTAAAACTTTCAAAAAGTACCATCAAGTCCAAAATTTATCATGAAAGTACAATTGATTCTTAAAAACTTTTAAAAAGTGCAATCAAGTCATAAAACTTGTCATAAAAGTGTAATTGAGTCCTAAAACTTTCAAAAAGTGCAATCAAGTCCTAAAAATTTCATGCAAATCGTCGCGATAAATGTTCCCACACTTGGATTACAGACACGTTATTGCGGTCACTCACTCAGGTTCAATCCAGGAACAGAATCAAATCAACCTTGACTAGTATAGTTTCCAATTTTATATTGTAAATCGCCAATGCCTTAACTACCACACATGGTATGTTTTCTTAAAATAGTAGTTCTATTAACTAAAGTGTGTTTAAAATTTAAAGGAGAAAAAAGGTTGGCCCGGTTCTTGGGTTGCTTTGGAACCAGCCGATTCGATTCCAAATCGGTTCTTAAGAGAACCAATAACCGAATTATAGAATTTGTTCTAGCTTCTTGATCCGAAACCTACTTACCCTAAAACAAATGATCCCTATTACTCATCGAGATTATTTTAAGGGAATAAGTACACTGAAAGTCTTAAAACTCGTTACGAAAATGTAATAAAGTTCTAAAACTTTCAAAAGTGAAATCAAGTCCTAAAACTAGTCACGAAAGTGCAATCGAGTCCTAAAATTTTCGAAAAGTGCAATCAAGTCCTAAGAATAATTTCTATAAGTAATCATTTCATTAATTTATAAATTGAACATAATTCAAATTATTTCAAATTCTATAAACTATATAAAAATATTAATTAATTTAGATAAATATTATTTATACATCACGCATTCTGAATCAAGTAAAGACTATGGGTTTGCAGCAAGTCACCAATACATCCATTTCATTAGAGATTGATGATCTTTAACAATACTTTCTAAGGGATAGTTAGCACAAGATGGTAAACAACAAAGTTTTTTTTTTTTTTGATAACTCAGGAACCCTCCGCATGGCCGACAGCCGGAGGGGTAAACCTGGGGTGACGCTAGCGCAGGACCCACCACCACGGCGCCACACTTAAGAATCCCTAACGACAACAAAGTTTGATTTTGGAAAAATACAAGTTTTAAGACTTGATTACACTTTTTGAAAAAAAATTTAGAATTTGATTGCACTTTTGTAACGAGTTTTAGGATTTGATTACACTCTTTGAAAGTTTTAAAATTTCATTGCACTCTCGTGACGAGTTCTAAAATTTCGAGTGCATTTTTCCCCATTTCATGAGGACAAAAGATTATTCTTTTTCATGATGGCGCCACCATGTTTTCATTTTCCCCACATGCTTCATATGTGGGTGGTACGTAGACCGAATTTGGTTCATAGTTTTAGACAACCTAATCCAAATATTAGAAGACTGGAGTGGCATCGGCCACGTCGAACAAGCAGGAAATTTACAAAAGCAGAAAATCGAGGAATATTTGACCTTTCTGAGGGTGGCACCGGACGTCCTTTTAAATTTATGTTTGGTGGATGCGAGACAAGATGTGGTTTTAACTTTCCACGGCCACGTATTTGTACGTAATTTTCAGTCTCGTTATGGATACAAAGCAACTCTTTCGGAAAAATTATCGAAATTTTTTTAAAAAGGTGGCCAATTCAATTTCCAATTTTTCAATTGTATCAATTTAGTACTAAATATTTTAACGATCTTCCAATTTAATGCTAAACCTTTTTATGATTTGTCAATGTAGTTCTTCCGGCCAATTATCCAAACAATCGGTTTAGAACTAAAATGACAAATTTTCAAAATGGTTAGGACTAAATGGACACATTTAAAAGGTTTCAAACTAAATTGACAAATCGTCAAAATGTTTAGGACTAAATTGGTATAACTAAAAGGTTTATGACTAAATTGATTGCCGTATAATAGATTTATGACAATTATCCAAAGTCTTTCATGCCCTTCAACTCTCAAATTAGGTTGCTCTATACATGGATATAAACACCTCAATTTAGAGAGGATGTAGCATAATCACTCGTGGAATAGGTGGTCTATGTTCACTTACCACCGTAGATATCCAATATAAAAATTGTTGTAGAAACCCTTGCCAACGGTGACGATGAAAGCCGGAAGCTCTAGGGAGGGCGAAGAGAGGCACGAGAGACGCGTGCGCATACGCAAGCGTACACAAACAAACACACACACGTGGGGAGGGAGATGGGGGCGGCGAGGGCGGCTGCGATGTTACGGCAGGCAACGGTCTTAAGGGGAGAGAGCGGTGGTTTAGTGAGGGAAGGAGAAGTTTAGTTTGGCAGACATCTACTCGTGTAAACTTAGGGACAGGAGATTGGTAACAAAGAATGGCATCCCCTTGATTAAAACATGTGTTTGTGTTTCCTTGATTTTTCTTGATTTTATCAAGTTAGGAAAACCAAAAAAAAGAAAAAAAACCATTGCAAAGAAGGAATGGATAAGAAGGACAACACTATACAAAATTGAAGCATGATATTCATTATAAAGAAAAGAGAGAGAAAAAGCTTCAAGATGTGGCCACCCAGAGTGGCTCCCAAGTCAACAACCTTCTATTTTCAGGCCCTCTTTCCTTGCATCCTCCACATCTCGGAGAGATGCCCTTGACATCACCAGAGGCATCATCTCTCTCATCATTTTCATCACCATCTGCTTCTTCTTCCTCGAAGACACGGCTTTCTTCCCACTCCTTTTCATCGTCTTCCATCGTGTGGTCGTCGAACATTCTTCTTCATCATCTACAGAATCACCGCATGACGAAGTGGGTTCTCCCAGGAAACATAGCTGGAGCCAGCCGTCGCTCCTTTCGGCTCGAAAGTGAGGGTAACACGGCGGTGTCTCAATGGCTTCGATGACCAACCTTCCGTCTTCTCTGTGAGGCCTAACTTGGAGGGACTTCACCCCTCTAATAGTAGTCAGCGGAGGCGGAAAGCCACGACGCGTCGGTTCCTTGGCCCCGGCATGTTCACGGGGTTTAGGCAAATTCCGATCGTACCTCGATCCATCGGTCAGAACGGACAGTAAAACCATGCTTTCGCTAACATGGCCAACAATACCAGTCTCATTACCTAGATCCTCAGTGCACATCTCCAAGCTTCGCTCGCGGAGTGATATCCAAGAAGGACTCTTTGTCAATGGAGGGACATAGGCAAAATCTTGCTTGTTGAAATTGCTCGTCATCTTGGGGGTCTCGTTTTGCACTTCAGACCCTTTGCTGGAGTTACCCAAAAGGCTACTCTTTGAGGGCACATCTAAGAACTGAGAGAACAGAGGAGGACTTGGTGAAGTCAATTTGAGCCTTAGAGACACTGGCTCCACGATTCGGGACTCCAGACATGACTGCAAACCTTGGCACACAACGGTTGCCATATCAGAAGAAGGAACCAAAGAGGAAGAGGGGTACAAAATATTTGGAAATCTCAGCAGAGGTAGCTGAAGTTTTGAGGTTGGGTGTTGAGGATTAAAGACTATGGAGAGGGAGGAAGATGGAGCAGGTGAGGCTGGGCAATGGGAGATGAGATGAGGAGGAGGAGATGGGAGGGTGTGAATTTGTAGTGTGTCATGAAGGGGGTGGAGACTGAGAGGGAGAGGCTTGAAGAGGAGGAGCTCCTCACACCACTCGAAAATATATAACCCTTGAGCGGCCACACAACACAAAAGGACAGGCAACAACATAACAAAAAGCTTTTTGTCATAGGAGGAATTATAGGTGGAGGAGGAGGAGAGTGAGGGAGGAGTGATACGGCGGATAGAAGGTGGTGGTAATCGGTTGTTGTTTGTGAGTAGTAGGGAGGGGTGTGGGAGAGCTCTAGATTTGCTGGTGTTGTTCCGGCCTTGTGACCTCTTCTTGATTTTGGCACTTGCATCCGTTAGTTTAGAGAACATTTTTGGGGTGGTTCCTATCATGTTTGCGGCTAATATAGTCGTTGATACTTGAGATCGAGATCGTGCAATGCTCTCTCGACCTGATGCGATGCTTGATTCGCTCGCCCTATGGTCAAGTCGTCTGAATTTGATCGGATCCGGCCTTATTCGTCCATTTCTTGGCGGTGAAGATACAGAGGAGTGATGATGCCGTATATGCAATTTGACGATTTCTCGATCTAATGGTGGATATCCGTGTTAGAGATAGCAAGTATCACCTAGAGGGGGTGAATAGGTGATTTGAGTGATTTTGAAGAATTTAAAGCGGAAACGATTTATAATCAGTAAAGTCTGAACAATGTTTAGATTCTGAATGTGCTAGTGTGCAGTGTAAACTAGGGGTGAGCATGGTCCGGGTTGGGCCGGTCCACCCCCTAACCCTAGGACCAACCCGCACAGTGTTGGTCCTCAATTTTGGGATCGAGGACCGCCCGTCGGTTCCATGGACCCGCCCGAGAACCGGACCGCCGGTCCGGTCCGGTTCCCGGGTGGGTCCATGGAACCGGTCCCACCAAGTTTTCCTAGAAAAATAAAAAAAAAATATGTGGACCAACATCAGATCAACGGAACAAAAAGAAAAGAACATAACTTTTCATACAATTCATATACTATGATCGGTTCTATTAACCACATCATCCATAAATCAAGTGGGTACCCATCAAATGAGTGTCCAGAGATAAGAGAGCAGAGAGTTTTGAGTGTCTAGTTACGTTTTTCTTTTGTTTTTTTGGTCAGATTTTTTTAATTAAAATTTTAAAAAATAAATATATTATTATTATATTACCGGTCCGGTCCGGGTGGGCGGGTGGGAGGTTCCACATTGGGAACCGGGAACTGGACCGATACCCACCGGTTCCAAAAAATTGGAATCGGGAACCGGACCGGTCCCCTTGGGAACCACCGGTTCCGGTCCGGTCCCGGGCGGTCCTGGGCGGTCCTGGGTTTTTTGCACACCCCTAATGTAAACAATATAATGAGAGATTAGGGATAGAGAAAACTACACACAAGAAGTTATAGTGGTTCGGCTTAGATCAAGCCCATGTCCACTCTCCCACGCCGACAGCCTATTGGTTGGATTCCACTATGTGATCTAAAGGTATTACAAGATCTGAATGATATCACTCGGTGAATGATAGAACTCACAATCACTTTTACAAAATGTCTCTCAAAATCTCAGTATTTAACTTAGAAAAGACAAGTAATAGAATCAGAATGTGCTCAAACTTTGGACTTGTTGATTCTCGATCTCGTTCGCTACCTTTTGCTCCTCATTGGTCTCATTTTATACTACTACACTTCCAAACTAGCCGTTGGACAGTCTTCAGAGGATCATCTTCCAATCTTTACCTTGAACAGATTTGTATAAAATGGATTGAGTAGCCGTTGGTTGACAAAATCTGAATTCCACTAAATCTGGTCGCCCATACAACCAGAATCTTGGTTTCCATAAGTAGAGTATTATCTGTTGTGATATATAGTTGCCATAATGTTTGATTGTCAATCAATTAGCCTTAGATTGAGTCAATCAAAACTTTCATTTTGTGAAATCCATGCAAGATTATTAACTGTTATGTTTCGTTCCGAATAAATTCTAAATCTAAAGAATTTCTGGTTCTTGCTTTACAGTCAGAAATAAAGTCAGCGTAGGTTTTCAGTAAAGTCTGAGTCCTTAAAAAGTAGAGCTGAAGTTCTCTGACGTCTTAAGATGAAGTCTAAGTATCTATTTCAGTAGAGTCTGAACTTCTTGTTCTGTAACTCGTAGAGTCTGAAATTTTCTTCTGAACCTCGTAAAGTTTGAGCGTCCAGAAAGTTAAGTTCTCTTGAAGTATTAAAGTTGCCACTTCCAGAATATATTTACCTGAATCAAAATACTTTAGAGTAAATATCAGATTTACAAGATTAATATGGATAGTTTTGTCAACTTCAAAATCTATTAAGAAATTTCCTCAACAATTCGCACTTCCCTCCCATCATGTATCCCTCTTGTACAAGAATTCAGTCCTCAATTTTTTTACTTTGTTAACAACAACTTATTCTCATCAGTCAACCAACCTATCAATGTAAAATACAAAACACGGTCTCTAGTCGCGTCTACTTAGTTAACTAAGGCTAGTTACCAATCTATCAACCAACCCATTGATTCACAAGAAGGATCCAAACAACTCTCATTCCAATCTTGCTCAAAATCGATTAAACTTTACGAATCACTCGTTTGTGACACAAGTCGTTGCACTAAAATGAGAATTCTGAAAGCGTTTTGACAGGTAAATTACATGATGCCAAACGAAAATTGAAGAGTTCCAGCTTCTAATTTTCAAATGAGCTTAAAAGTGATATTCACGACCTAAACATTACATTGCTATAGCATTCTATCCCATCAAAATTCATACATTTTGATCAATTTCAATGGTAATTTCAACCATAGTTTCAATCAATTGTTTGACATCCAATGCCAAATGGCCCAGAAGCAACTATCTTAAAGATGGAGCCCAGAATAATCGTCTGTCCCCTGATGACAGACATTGGACTCGATTAGGGGAAAAATCTTAATAATTATGACATATTTCACAAAATAAGTATATCTATAGTGTTCATGTTCTTCTTACTTGTCGTGAAATAATGCAGAAATTAACAGATGGTGCAATTCATTATCAAACACAAGAGATTCATAATTACTATGTAAATCGATGAAGACCAACAAGGACACTAAAGATCTAAGTGGTTCAGTCCTAGTGCTAATACACATGAAGAGTTAGTCGCAAATAATCCATTAGATAGGAGAATTATGAAAATAAAATCAATCACTCTCGTATTTCCCAAGCCCGAGTATACAACTCCTAACAAGTTCTCGAATTTCTCTTACCAAGTTTTATTAAAAAATCCTTAGGCTGCGTTTGGTCGTCTGGATTTCTAGTCAGGATAGAATAAGAAATCCTGGGATTTTATCATATCATATCTACTGTTTGGTGAACTACGGATTTAAAGTCGGATATTTTTATATCCTATCATGTCTATTGTTTGGTAGAAACTGGATTTCAATATAAAAATATATATGCCATTTCGTAGTGCCCATGAAATGATATGGCTGTTATCATCATAATCTATTCTTTGTGCTCGACGAAAAAAAAAACTATTCTTTGTGGCGAAATATGACAAAAATTGCACTTCTTTTTCGATATCTTTATGAGAGCGGAAAAGAAGAAATTCATCTCGCATTTCTTTTCAAAATCTAATTGGCCAATAGAAATAATGCTAAAGCCTTCCAACGTGAAGGACGTGTGCTCCAATTCAGTTGCTTAGTGATGGCACTGAAGGGTTCATCAACGAAAAACAACGCAGCGGAATATAGAATCCTAGACAGGATCCATGTGTATATTGAAATCGAGACAGAAGTTCGATACATACCTTTTGCAAATCGAACGTAAATTGACAATTGATTGTGTCTGGATTAGCGCCCCAAGTGTTGCGCCTCTACCGGTATCCACACACACGAACGGAATTCTCCAACGATCCACGTGCTAGCGAAAGATCTTGAAGTTTCTTTTTCTTGAACGTCTTTTGATTTTCGATACTCTGTCGAAAAACTTTAGACAGAGAACGACTCTCTATCTATTTATACAGCCTCATTATCCAGCGGAATTAAAAGAAGTGGGCCGGGCAATTTGGGCCAGCCAAACCATCCACCTTTAATCGTACGTTTAATCGTTATCTCATAACGCGCACGACCGCATAGATAATTTAAATAAGAGAATAAATTAAAATCTACTTCTTAAGTAGATCAAGGCGCACTGAAAATATTAAGTCGTTCGTTATTGTGTGCGACCCTGTAGGTTCACTAAACATTAGCAGTGTGCTCAAAACTCTTTTTGGCCCACAAATCATAAGCGGTCTCTAGCAAGACATTATGCCTACCTAAGTATAGTGAATGTCGATTTTCCGACACAACCTAATCCACAACTAATATTAGAGTATCAACCTTGATTGATTCCTAGGGCAGGCCACTAACAATCTCCCACTTGCACTAGAACCAATCATATAAACTAAGTCCCTTTGTCACTTGATTTTCGAGTTAAGCATAAGGCAGGACAAGTGTCATCCTTATATAGCTTAAACTCATTTTCCCGATACTGCAGTTAGACTGTCAAAACAAGTAGTTGACTCTTCAACTCACTTGAGCATGGCCATGCATTTCACAGTCTCAACTCTATGGGAGGCCAGGAAATCATACCCTCGTTATATGAGAGGGACAAATCCCATCTTGTCTACTCACATCACTCAGCACGATTCATGACATGCCCAGCCATTACCTTTATAATCACCTGTTACGGCTGACGTTTGGCAATGTTAAAGCATGTCAATCCACGTCTATGAAACCATGGCAGACTCAGGTCAAAGGACTATACTCTATAGTTGTGATGAGAAATACTGATGACATTATATAACAATCCTACAGTATTCTCATAGTAGGTCTGTCCAATATAATGTTCTCCAACATGTATTCCATGTGATCAACTTTATATCTCTATATTCATGACCCGTGAAACTTGATCATCAGTTGACTCACATGCTAGTCTCAAACACCATTTGCTTCCCAATGCACAATGGCAATTGACTAGGGACATTTAGAATATTAATATCCACTCTATTAATAGAGTTTCACGATCAAATCACGTATTTGATTATC